AAGTTTCAGTTAGAAAGGATAAGTTTATCTCATTTTCCATCATGAATTCGCGGACTTCGTCTATTTTAGGGGCCAAAGATCTCACATTAGTCACCATTAATTTTGGAATAAAATTACTAATCCTCTGTTTTAATATAGTGGTATTAAGTTGATGGAGTTCTGTAGTAAGGGGCTTACATGGCAGAGTACAGTTATTTGGAAAGTCAACAGATTCGTTTAATAATGACTGGGTGGTCTTGTTGGGATGTCCATCAGGGGAGGCATATAAGGGTAGTTTACATGGGGATAAAAAAAAAGGGTGTCTCATAGTATTTAGGTGACTTTGAAAATGATATGGAGTTTGTCCGTAAAACGGGGGTGGAAAAAATTGTTGTTGGTGTGGTTGAAAGGACTGTTGTGGTTTAGCGTGGGAGAAATCACATTTCAAACCCTTCAGGCAATGACTCTTTCTGCGTAAAAAGGGACATGGAACGTGAGATTTAGGTTTTTTTGTGTGTCGGGGGAACCTATCTTGGTATGGTGCGGGTATTTCGTTCCTACCCGCAATTTCTTCTGAAACATTATCGGTTCCAGCGTTATTTAGATTTGCCGCGCCAACGTTGTTTTGATCAGATATCTCGATTATACTAATGTCGGGGGCGTTGGGATTAGTCGTTTCATTAATTTCTTTTGTTTGGGCGTGAGTTAAAATATGCATATCGGTGGCAGGTTTGCCATTTCGATTTTTAACAAACTTTCCCCCATTTTCAACTGATTTTTCACCTTTACTCTGGCCCATAAACTCAACTAATTGTTCAACAGTTTGAGACAAAGTTTGTATAATTTCTCTGTTGATTTCTTGACCCGATTTTAGTTCCTCAAAGTCGAAAACAACATCAGCACATGGACAAGACGACTGTCGCGGGGTATCTACATTCGTCTGGCATGACATGCCCACGCCTACAGGGGTTCCTTTTCTGCTGAAGCATTTTGTCTGCTCGCTCACAAAAATAATTCTATCGGCAGGTTGCAATGGAAAACAAGCCTTAGAAAGTTACCGCAATAAACCGGTTCAATGCATTGTATTTAAGACAAGCGCATTTTTCATACAGGAATCATTTTGATTTTTGATCATCGTTTCGACTTGTTTGTAATCATCCTCAGGATTAATAAATCCTGAGGATGACTATAAACTAGTCAAAAACGTCGATTGAAAATCAAAATGTTATTCGGAGTTTATTCGGAGGTATTTTCTTAAAATACTGTGAGGGTCCCGTAATTAAATAAACGGATTCGTTCAGTGATCTTTTGCAGTATTAACACAGCTTGATCAGTAAGTTACCATAGCTAGCTGTGACACTGAACAATAGAACCAATTAATTTTCAGATGTCATTACTCTCGTTAAAGCAATATCTCTCATTTAATATACCTGTCTGCATGCAAGACACTGTAGACCTTTGCCTTGATCATGAGTGAACTAAGAACTAATGCGTTTTACCTGAAGAAACTGTATCGCGCAGCTCAAGTTACTGACGCTGACAAGGTAAGAAACTGCACTATAGTATCGCACCAAGCCTGTCGATCACGAGGACAACAAATAATGTCAGACTGATTTAGAAGCAATAATTTATTTAGATGCCAATAACGAACCAGCTGGAAATGTGAAACTTTAATGCCTACCATATAATGCATGTTTAAAAACCTAGAGTCTCATTAGAATGCTCACGTTTCAGTCCTCGAACATGAGATCATGTAGCCACTAGACCATTTCCCAGTAACTTTTAATGACTGATTAAACGCGAGACTTTTGAGAGTGAGTTTGATTCAATTTTATGTTCTAATAACTTTGGATCTGAAAATGCAATAAACTCTTTAATTTTGAAGGATGGTGTGGTAACTCGTGCTGATTATGACCTCATGATCAAGAGATACAACGAGCTTGGTATGCCAGAAGAAAACAAACAAGAATTATCTGACGCCATGTACGGGATGTGTGGTTCCTTGGGTCTTACAGATCACACGAAGTCCTTGACTTACGACGAGATAGTGCAGTCTTGGATTGATAACGTGGAGAAGGGAGTTGGCTTTGCGACCATTGTTTACGATAAGATATTTCGAATTGTTGACACAGACAGAAATGGAAGTATATCTTTGAAAGAGTGGGAAATTCATTGCATGGCTATTAACATCCCTGTGGAGCATGCTGAACCATCGTTTAAAGCGATGGACACTGATGGAGATGGAGTGATCTCTCATGATGAATTTGTAGCTTATCACTATGAATATTTTCATACAAGTGAAGATAAACTACATAGTTCTCTTTTGTATGGGCCATTACAGTAAAATAAGGCACTGGAACGCCAAGAATTTTGACAATGCTAATGTTAATTAATAATGCTAATAGTTAAACTGCACAGTAGCATGAGAACAAACTAATATGCAGGTATATGTGCATGCAAATATGTTTGGGGAAAAATTTGAAATCTGATGGGATTAGCAATTATTAAAAAGGACATTTCGGAGTTTACTCCATCATCAAGTTGAAAGTTGACGTTTGATTCACGTTTGACAATAATTATAATATTGCAGTCTTTAAACGTAAGCTATTTAGACAATATACTCGAGCAACGAAATACATCCTGTTTGAAATCTACGAATCTTTCTGAATGTGAACGAATTTTGAGAATAGCTTTTAAATTAATCCGTTCGAAAAGGTATGGTGAATTTACTTTGGCACACTATAGATTTGAAGTTAAGGTTTGTTTTGAAAAAGTAATAAATGTTTGACCTCTAGTTTAGCGCGAAAGAAATAAAAATATGCAACGAAATATAGTAACGAAATAGTCTTTAACCTGATGACGAAGTCAACTTCGAAACATCGTTCTTATAACAGTAAAAGTGTTAAGCCTTGTTCTTAGTCAATAGTAATACACAAAAATCTATTAATCAAACGAGGCTAAGGGAAATTTGTTATTAAGTATTTCGACTGAAAGCTTTTGCGTTATTACGCATGTAGATTAAAGCACTATCGCACATTTAATAAACAACTTAGTATTGTCCACAATGTGGTTGTCTTTTTGTAATTTAGGCCCCGTTTACACTATACCGAATTACTTTTCATACCGGATTAATTTTCACTGCGAAGTAAAAAACTAGGGTGTTTACACTATGCCGCTTTGCTCTGTTGCCAGCTCATGTCTTTCAGTGTCGCCATTGAAACAAGTAACATTTTTTTCCAATATACTTAAATTTATTAAAAACCAGAAGTAAAACTGTTACACGTTTTCTTTGTAAAGTACTGTATAACTTAAGTTCGTTTAATTAAAAAGCTTGACCATCAGACGTTGCTTCCTTTCGCTCTAATCTAAAATTGACTAGTATTTCTTTAAATCTTGCTCTTTCGAAAACGAAAAATCAGTGTTATTATCGTTTTCTTTATTTATCTTCTAAATGCATGGTTGTAAGACGAAACAAACAACAGCTATGAAGTATTGTAAAAGCGAGCAAATAAAGGCGACAATGTTAAAACATACCCGCCAAAACTGATTTTGTACCGACGAAGTGTACCGGATTGACCTGCACTGCTCCGGCACATACCAGATTAAGGACGTTTTAATTAACTTTTTAGTACCTTTTATTACATTTCTTGTGGTGCTTAATTACACAAAAATAGGCACTCGAGGAGTGCTTGAGGATTTGCAATTTTGTTTTCAATTATATAATGGAAGAAATATGGAAAATATCTCCCAAAATGTAAATAATATAGGCTATAAACAAAACACAACATCATGAAAAATCTTTTCTCTGAATGTCAACTTTTGTTGAATTACTGTTATTTTTAAGTTGATCTACTACAACTTTTATTAATAAATGGCTTTGTCACTGCCTGAAAGATAAAAGAAAAACTTAATTTGTAGAAATGTTGAAGATATTTAACGTTTGGATAAAAAAACGACAAATTTAATTTGTTTCGATTTTTCCGCATTCCACAACAAGCAATTACATTTCTAATTCATTTCCAATGAATACGCATGAAAAATGGGACAATACAATTTTCATAATAGAAACACCGCTTTTAATTTTATTTTATAACTCCGTTCCTGATTTGAACGAACTTGTCATTCAGGACCTTTTCCATTTGTATTTCCAGCACAAAACAGCCATAGGATATATTCCTTCGTTTAGTCACTGGTGTATTCTACCAATATGAGGGGGTTTTTGGCCCGAAAAATTGCGAATAACCACAAACACAAATGGCGAATTATGCATGGCTTCCGGCGGTTCACGAATGCTCGATCGACTCGGAACTCAAGGTCAATAATTCAATTATCCTACGTCATACGTATAGTAATCTATCTATCTTACAAAACCAATGACATTTTGCTTCGCAAATCCTTAAAATTTACAAATATTTTGAAAAACCTATAATTTTCCCGCCAAAAACGGAAAATTGTTTTCGTAGTAGGCAAGAATATTTGAGTGGCTCTAATTAAAACGTAATAGCTACAGCAAAATTTTGATAAATTAACGAAATATTTAGCAAATGACGGTACCCTGTGTAGTTAGCCATGACAACTGCTCATGCTATACTAATAAACCTACACTTATACGGCATGTAGTAAAACACTGACTATCGGAACCACGGAACACCACCGGAACAACTGAATACCACCGGAACAACGGAACACCATGGCCACCGGAACAGCTAAACGAAATACAAAATGGCGGCAAATTACGAATACCCGTAATATGGTAGTATTGGGTATTAGTTTGGTTTTTGTTTGTATTAGCACGAAAATGCGAAAATTAACTGCGCTTCAAAATCATTGTTTCTCCGTTCAGTGGGACACATTATGTTAAAAATTCCTTAGATGTAACATTTAAGTTTGGATAATCGCTTGTCTTGTGCTATGGCGTGTTTTGGGAATAACGATTAATGCACAGGGGGTCCAACTAAGAGTTGTGTTATGAATATGAATAAACTATCTTATTAATTAAACGTAATATGAATAAAACATCGTAACGTAATATATTTAAATTATTGCACTTACTTGTATAAATCATAAGAGCTTGCATTTACAGTGAATAGCTTCAAACATTCACAACATAAACAACATAGTTTGCTATTGTTCAAATATGGCGATCAATTGGCAAAACGAAAATATTACATGTCTTACATGGCGTTCCAACAAAAATAACAGCAAGGATTGCGGGCGCGCGAGCGGAAAGCAAAAAGGGAAAAGGGAACGAGGTTGAGCGGAAAGGCGAGGGGAGAATAAATTAATAATATAAATAGAAGGGATGAAACAAATATCACGTGATCGTCTGATGTATTCCATAAGTAGCCTGTTCTCTCGGAAAATTCCAAAACGCCTCCTGCCAACTCCAACAACGCCAACGCGCTTACTGATTAATGAAAATAAACAATGTTAGCTATACCGGCTAATATGAAATATTTAAATTTAGCGACTAACGTTTTTTTTAACATTAGGGAGTGGTCATAAAGTAAGTGCTACCCCGGGGAGGAGGATATTGGGATGGGGTATGGAATTTTTTTCAGGGATCTGGATGGGGTATGAAATAAATTTTAACACACAGTGTAATCATTTTTAACCCTATTTGTACCTGGATGCACACAATGAGCGCACCCAAATAAATATTTATCCGTCATTCCTGAACAAATGAACCATTTGCTTTCTGAAAATTCAAAGTTATCCCATAGGCAGCGCAATGTTATGGTAGACGTGCTCCAAGTCTCTTTTTCATTGTCATATAATATCGATCCACTATGCTGTACATTACATGCGTCATGTAAGTACACTAAAAAACAGCAATTTGGATTTGAATGTCACTTCTTTGTTATTTTTAAGTTGAAGAAAGATAAAACTTACTAAAAATAAAACTTATAGGATAATGGCAATTAGTCAAAAGAATTTCTGAGCCCTATCAGCACACCCCAGGTCATATCAACATGAATAAACCCCGGTAAACTTATCGTTTCATGATGGGGTATGAAACATTGAGACTATTATCTTGATGGAGTACCAAATATTATCCGACAATTTTGTGGGGGTATGAAAATTTTTTCACAAAATTAAAAATATCCTCCTCCCCGGGGTAGCACTTACTTTATGACCGCTCCCTTATTTAGTTTTATTATTATTTAGTCATTACGTCACGAGAACAGGCTATTTATGGAACACATCTCGCGAAAACGGTCAAGCCAGAATGTTCGCTGTTATAAATTATATAAACTAGAAATACATGCATGCAACAACCCCTCGCCTATAATTTCCAAACATTGTTTCAACATGAAGTACTCGAAATTAAGCCAACACTAAACCACACTGAACGCAGGCTTGCGTTGCCACGTCACGTTAGTCATGGCAACACGATATCACAGAGGATATACTACACCAGTGAACTGTAATAACACTGGAACGCTAACTGCAGATAAACATGCCCATACTTGCCTGAAGCCAAAATGGCGCTTCTCGCGAGCACGGCCAGCAATAAATTAACTTTCAAAAGGACTGGGGAGAGTTTCGAGGAGCAGGAAATTCAGTCAAAAGTTTGTTTTTGAGCGAAAATCAGCAAGAAAAAGTACTTTTTTATCAAAAGGCTTCAACTTTAAAGATTCAAACCTGGTTTCCTGGATAGTTCTAAGTATTTTACATCCACTAACAGCAAAAACTTCCTGGGTAACAGCTTGATATTCAAAATATTACACAAGTTTGAACGTGCCGAAAAAAACTTCGCACTTTGACTCCTGAAAAAAGAACTTTATAACTGCTCTACGTTCTGGAAACATGTTTTGTATTAAATTTCAGGTATTGTTGAAAGTTTTTAGCTTTTTTCCTTGTTGAAATACAGCTATTTAGTGGTCGAAAACAGATGTCTTTTTGGTGGCGTATTTTCCACTCCATACGTACATGGCGGCCTTCATTTTGGTTTCAAAGATGGCCGCCAAGTTATCGTTCCAGTTCCCTTAGAGTTCACTGTACTACACAGAGGTGGAACTCAGCCAAAAAAGTGTAACCGGCCGCCAAAAGCTTAGCCAGTGCGCTAAAGACAGGCATTCACCCCTCTGAACTCAAATTTCAAGATGGCGCCCGAGTGTTTCAGAAAATAATCGGCACGAGAAACACTTGTAATTTTGCTCATAACAGTTTTCCTTTACTAAAGTTGTTATTAACATGTTCATATAATTCGTCCTTGAAAGATATGTTGGTATGAGAAACCTTTGAAGATTATCTACCGATTTATATGGCACTGTTATTCATCGTAGGAGTGGAAAATTGAAATTCCGAAATTACCGAGAAGTTAATACTCATGTGAGCCATGTCTAAAGGATTTAGAAGAAATGTAAATGGTATAATAACTTATGTGCAGCTGGATATCGTTGTATTTAATATTTTGTGAAATACTTAGGCAGAAATCAGTCAAGATTTCACTATTTGAAACTATAGCAGTATATGGCACCCTGTTTATAATAGTGATAAAAAGCATAAAATGTGAGGGATGTTGGTTTTTTACATTTCAAACACGCTATATTAAAAAAAATATGATGTACATAGTTCATATTTAACATCATTCAGGTTGCTATTCTTTAAATGAATTTTGATTAGAGTTTCTGAATGAGATGCCGAAACAATGTGAAAGTTGGGTATTCTTTACTTTCATTTGTTGTGATGCAACGTCTCCGGCACATGGTGGTCAACTCTAAAAGGAAACACAGTTACCGGTGTGTGTAAATTGTTCACTATATGTCTTGACTTTGTGTTTGCTGGTGAATACATGCAATTTAGCCTCATTTGCTCACTCTCCAAGTCATTAGTGTTGATACATGTAATGTTGACCACCATGTATAACCCTTGTATAACCCTATGTATAACACCTTGATGTTACCAATTGTTTACATCAGAAGGTACATATGTGCAGAACAGACTTGACCGTCTGTTCATCTCTAACCCATTGAGTCGCATTGTGCACTGATGCACCCTACTTTATTATTTTACTCTGTCTAACGCCAGATTATTTTACTCTGTCTAATGCTATACAATTTTACTCGTCAAGGGGAGAGTGCGAATGCTATACAATTTTACTCGTCAAGGGGAGAGTGCTGGCACTTAGTGGGTTAACTCGTCTATCTGCCCATGATGTACGTACATGTCTAGTTAACCCATTGAGTCACATTGCACCCTATGTTATCATTTTCTGTCTAATGCAAGATGATTTTACTTGTCAAAGGGAGAGTTCTGGGTTAATATTTAAGTAGAATTAGCCTCTTCCACAGGCAACTCTGTATTGTTTTGTATAATAGGTTTTATATTTGGGATTTTTTCCTCCCATGTTTTGCTTTCCCCAGGCCTAAAACTATTTTGCTTGAAGCTTGGCCAAAGTTTGATCATTTACAAAATGCATTTACAATACAAAACAAATAAGAGTTGAAAACCTGTTATCCAAAACAATACAGAGTTGCCTGCAAAGGAGGCAAAAATAGAATATGATTTATAACAGCAGATAACATTGAATTGTGGAAATCGAAGAAAAATATAACATTCAATCAATTGATGTAAACAGTGTATTTTTCAGTCTTTTCAATATATCCACATTTATCAAATGTTCATATTTTACCATTATTTATCTGACATTCCGGGGCTTAACACTGATACATGTAGGATAATCTATGCTCAAAAAACTGGAGGTAAACAGTTGGGAGGCAGGAAAAGTTCTTCAGGAGGGCCTTTACATGCAGCTGATGTAGAATCCAATGGCTTATTATTACCTACATTACAGGAAACAAAAACCTGAATCTATAGATTCACCTCTGACACTCAGGCGTATAGCCTCACTTCTACCTCCAGGGGAAGTGAAATTGTCACACTCACACATTATTAGTTGCTTCTATGTCAGTGAAAATGTCCAATGTTTATTCAACCATTAATTCAGCCTCAACCCATGCATGTACAGGCTGAAGTTATCTGGTATTCCTATATGCACATGGGGAAAATTTTGAGTACAAAAATAAAAGGTTGACCAACAATCTTGCTAGCATTTTTAATCAATACACCCAGGGGTGAAGACCTTGGAACTTCTTAAAGAGGAACAGAAAAATCCATTGCAAAGGAATGTTGTCACCCAAATATTTGGCTTAAAAACTGTATTATGCATTTCTAGGGAGCTGGTTGCAAAAATCTCTTGGAAAATATTTCCAGGGGAGCCAATGAAAAACATTATTTTTGGAAACTCCAGGATGTTTTGAAGGTCTTCACCTAAAATCACTACTTAAATACTGAACAGTGAAAAATATTTGGGTTTTTATCAAATTTGCCAATCATCATTTGCTTCTTCATCATAACTTGCCCAGTCTACAAATGGGAAAAATTGTTGTCAAAAATGTTGTGTCTTGGGCAGGCATTAGTTATTACTTGATTAGTCTATTACAAAGCCATGGGTAGCCTGTCCTCTCATCTAGGTGCATGCTTAACATGATTGGTGCATATAGAAATTATTTTGGAAAAGAATGTCACTATATTATTTCATACATACAATAAAATAAACTAAGCATCTGTTAAATTCCAATTATTATTAGCATTCACAAACAACAGTGTTACTACAGCCAAAATAGCAACAAAATATATAAATCACAGACAAAATATATAAATCACAGACACAGCTGATTGAGCTGAATGCTTATAAATGGAACTACTGAACTTAGTGAACTACAGTACATACAAGTATACAACTGTAAAATATCAGTAAAAAGTTGTAAAAACAGATTAAGTCATTAACTATATTCTGAATTCACATGACAATTGCTAATGTAACCCCCTGCACTCTTAATTTCTGACTATCAGACAAATAGCAAAAAATAGCACGAATGTGTTATTAAGTTTTTTAATAATAGTCAAAAGATTCACACTGTACCTTAAATTAAGAAAACTTTTGCCTTTTGTCAACCAAATTCTTTGTCAAGCAAAGTTTCTTCCTTTCCACAAAAGATCCACGATATTTTACACAAATTTACAGGTATATTAAAGCTAAACTAGCCAAGCAGGCTAAGCCCATAAACCAAAATATGGCAAAATATTTACAATTCCCGCTCATATGAAAACAATTTTGTTGAAAAAAAAGAAAAAGAAACAGCAAATCTCTCCCAGATTTACCTCTTCCCATAGGCAAAATTGAAAATAAAAATAATTCAACAAAAATCAGCGAGATTTCAAACAATATCCTTGATTTCGAAACAATTTTTTGCGATCTTTTTAGTAAAAAATGCCCGCCATTTTGTAAGTTTTCGGGGGGGTGAATGCCTCTCCTTAGCGCACTGGCTAAGCTTTTGGTTACACTCAAACATTAGCGTTTCGTAATACAGTTACGCCTCTGTCCAGTATCTACTCTGTGACGATATTGTTTTTTTAATTTTTTGTACAAACCGGGAAAAAATAGATGAAATGTGAACACTTTTAAATACAGGACTATCAATTTCTAAAATATATAATGTAGGTATAATATTTTGGTTTCTATGGGCTTTATTTTAATGTAAAATTCAAAACGAAAGTCTGCGTAAAACGTTTTTAAATGTGAATTGAAATTAACTGCTTTTTGCCGATATTTATAAACTTCTCAACTCGAGCTTCAATTTATTACTCGCACTTTGAAATGAAACAAATTTAATTCGTACAGGACGCTAATGAAAATAATTTGCTTTCCTTTTTATCATGAACTTTTACAAAAGTTAATTTAACTAAGAAACTTTCGCAAACAATGCATAGGAAAGATTTGAACATCAAGAACAAAGTCTATATTTATATTAAATACAAAGTCGTATATACATAAACAATTGAAGCAAACTTGCGCTATACTTTAGGATTTATGATACAATATCAATTCTTATCAATGTTTACATTTAAGAATTGCAAAAAAGTTGTACAATTTGTTATGTGAAACGATTTTCCAAGCTTTCTTACATGTATTTTTTTATACTTTTGCCTTGTTCACTCCTGGGAAACAGCTATATTCTGAGATCAGTGATGACCACCCACCCATGAACTTTAGACTCCGCTACTGATGCTTTCGTTTCCCCGAGTGTAAATAGTCGGGGGGGGGATTAATACCCTCGCACGGCGCTTCGCGCCGTCGGCTCGGGGATTAGATTGATCAATGCTTTTTTGGTAATGACTAGGCTTGTTCAAGTAAGAGAACATCGACTGAGCCTTAAAAAACCCGCAAAAAGATTACACGGATAGCCTAGAAGCTTTTTAAAATGTCACGTGATATTTGTTTCATCCCTTCTATTTATATTATATTTAATTTTTCCCTTCGCCTTTCCGCTCGCGCGCCCGCAATCCTTGCTGTTATTTTCGTTGGAACGTCATGTAATATTTTCGTTTTGTCAATTTTTTCGCCATATTTGAGCAATGGCAAACTATGTTGTTTATGTTGTGAATGTTTGAAGCTATGGACCCCCTGTGTTGATGTTCTTAACTCGTTCTCATCATACTTGCAATTACACGTATTACGATTCAATTGTTTCTAATGTAAATATCTCATCGAGTATTGTCCCCCCTCTTTAAACGAAAACCACCACTGAAATCCTCACAAAATAACCTTTTGAACGGGGGTCAAATGCCTTCAAAACATCACACAAACCAAAATTTACTCACCCTTAATGCCCAAACATTTTGAATTTCATTTGATTTGGGGAAAAAACTTGAATATCTTCTAAAGTTTTCGTTATTCGCCCCAAGTCAATTTGAGTAAAATATTCTTTGTATTCAGGGGTTAGAATTTTCACATTTTACGTGCTATTACAAACAAAAACCAAACTAATACTTACTACTATATTACGCGCTCTTCGTAATTTGCTGCATGCCATTTGGGATTTTTTTTTAGCTGTTCCGGTGGTGTTCCTTTGTTTCGGTGGTGTTCCGTTGTTCAGGCGGTGTTCCGTTGTTCCGGTAGTTAGTGTTTTACCACATGCCCACTTAGACAGGTTAACGGATTTAAGAAACAATACGTCTCTAAGGTTTCAATAATTTAAAAAATGTAACATTTGCATAGCATGATTAGTTGCTATGGTTAGCTTCGCCACTGCTGGTAACAAGTACCATTGTTGTGACCACCTCACACAACCATATATCACGAGCTACACCATTATCTTTGCCTACCTTTACTTCAAGTCTGTTAAACTTTCCAAAAACAAGAGCAACGTAAACGACGACCAAAGCATATCCTGTACTCAAAAGTTTTATATCGCTTTTTATTGCACCTTGAGATGTTTCCTGGAATCTGAAGAAGATGTGGCAATCAGAAAACACAGATTTATTTTTGTCTCATTCCATGACGGCAAAATCTTGGTTATCGTTCCATGTTTCGCGCATGTTAGGGGTTAGGTATTAGGGTTAGGGGTTAGGTTAGTGTTACGGGTTAGGGTTAGGGATAGGGTTAGGGTGTGTATATACGTGTATCAAGGTATCCAGTTAACTTTTCAGTACACTATAATATCCATTACATAACGTCTACTATATTGGTGCGCGAAACATGGAACGATTACCAAAATCTTCGCGAGATGTTGTGTTTGAGAAATTCGGATGGATGCACATGAGCGATTCTATTGAATTGTTTTTCCGCTTTCACTGTGAGTAAAACTGACTTCTACTCACTGGTGAAGCGAAATT